GAGAAAGCAGGTTGACAAACGTGAGAATGTGTGCCAGGATACAACATTACCCCCCACCAGGTTGGAACAACCGATGAAAAGATTGAAAGGTAGGATGTGTAGGATCAAAGGATAAGTGATATAGAATAATAAAAGATAAAAGATAAAAGATAAAAGATAAAAGATAAGAATGACGCAAATGGAAAGAAAGAGCTGCACTGTGAACCTCATGTGATGATGGGTGTAAGCTGTCAGAAAAACCCAGCAAAAAACCATGTAGGAAAAAGTATGGGAAAAGACTGCTTCTTAAGTGCGTCGTGATGTGTCTGTGCGTCTGCGTTTGGTGGCTCGTGCACCGTCATTGTTTGGTGCGGCAGCGTAAAATGGGTCATCTGATGGAATACCATTTGGAAAACGACGTTTGATATAGGCGTTGATAGCTGAGATATCGCTAAAGTTTTCAGCTGGTTCCCATGTGTCGTCCTCATCGCTGTAGCCTCGCCAATGCACACGATATTCTGGATAGCCGTGTTGTGCATGCGAACGGTGATCGACAATAGCTTCGAATTCATAAAAAGTGTCACCATCCGCTTTAGGATCATCTGAGACACGTTTAACTTGATGCGGAGGAATGTTACGCTGTAGGAGCTTGCCCATCTTGTCACGTAAAACATAGTTGCCTTTGGGTGTCCTGAAATGCACGATGTACGGTCCGTCATAAATTGGATCGGTCTTGGAGCTACGATTGACGTTGACAATCATGACTTGGCTACCAATAGGAATGTCTTTGTGCATGCGATGCGTCTTGTTGTAGCGTGTTTTGGTGACTTCGTTGCGAGCTTTACGACCTTCGTGGATACCAGGGATGACGATATCTTCCATTTCCTTCATACGTTTCATGATGGATTTTGTGACTTCGGCAGGATTGGCTGATTTGCCTTGGGAATAATCACGCATTGCATTGGGTTGACGAGCAAACATCAAAGCGAAGGGACGAGTCTTGAGATCAGAGTGGTGTTTGGTATTGATTGCGTACATGGTACTATCAAGGTATAAATCCCACGTTTCAGGTCTGCCCTCTAAGCGTTTGAAGAGTGCCGTCTTAACCGTTTCAACCATACGTTCAGCTAAGCCGTTGGCTCGAGGATGATATGGTGTAACAAGGCGATGATCCATGCCAGTGTGTTTGGAAAGAAGGTGGACAAAGTTGTTTTTGAACTCGCTACCGTTGTCGCTTTGTATGATCTTTGGATAACCGAAAAGGCTGAAGACCGAAGAAAGCTCTTTAACGATGTCAATGGCTGATTTAAAGCGAATAGGGCGTAAAACGCAAAAACGAGTAAAGACATCAACCATAACGAGAATGTAGTTGTTGCCAGAAGGAGTGGTGCAGTGTAATTCACAAAGATCAATAGCCCAATGATCACCAGGTCCATCAGCGTTGATGCTCCGCAATGGATGGTATCCATGTTTACCAATGTTGTAGCGTTGGCAAGGGAGACAACTGCCGACATGCTTCAAGGCGTCATCTTTCATATTGGTCCAGAAGATACCATTGTCGTGAAGGTCATTCACTATGGCGTCAGCACCGAAATGGCCATTCAAATGGGATTGTTCGAGTAACTTGGTACGTTCTTCCTCGGGTGGTGTAATCATTTCCGTTGGCTTGAACAACCGATGCATGAGCTTTGTGGCTGCGTGGGAAATGCTGTGTGCAAAGGGTGACTTAAATTGGGAATTACCCCCCTCCAGCGTCAGCGATGTCTCTTGTGGAGCAAAAAGACGAGAAAGACGGTCCGGCAGCACATTTTGAATACCAGGAAGGTGAACAATGTCAACGTCATAGTTGCAAATGACATCGAGCCAGCCGACAATCATAGGAGTAGCGTGTGGTTGCGTGTGAAGGTAAATGAGCGCTTTATGATCAGTGTATAAGGTGAACTTTTTACCCCACAAAAACTGATGGAACTTCTTCAAGGCGAAGACAATAGCAAGGAGCTCACGTTTGGTGGTAAAGTAGTTACGCTCGGATTTGGTCAAAGCGCGTGCAACAAAGCTTATATACTGGCGTTCTTGGGTGTCAGGGTCAATTTGATACAAGACAGCACCAATACCATGATTCGAAGCATCAGTAGCAACGAAGAAAGGACGAGTGATATCAGGATGACTCAATACAGGAGCAGCGAGAAGTGCAGCCTTTACGTTATTGAATGCATCAAGATGAACATCCTGCCAAACTTTCGCAAGAGATCCATGGTTACGTAAAGCATCGAGAGGTGCTGTGAGCTCGGCAGCAAGAGGTAAGTGCGAGCGAAAGAAGTTGATAAGACCAAGGAAACGCTGAATGTCTTTTCCTGTTTTAGGAATAGGCCACTCATCAACGTTGACCAACTTGCGAGGATCAGGGTGACGACCATTAGCATCAATGCAAAATCCAAGTAAGTAAATGGACTTTTGAGCAAAATGACACTTGTCGGCGTTCAAGATAAGATTAACATCGGTGAGACGTTGAATAACAGTGATGACATGTTCACGGTGCTCAGCCATGGATTTGGAAAAGATAACCACATCATCAACAAAGGTAGCAACAAAAGGTAAATCATCAAGAAGAGTGTGCATGCATTTCTGAAAGACCGCGCTGATATGCTTAAGACCGAAGGGACATGCTTGGAAGCAATAAGGTCTGTTGCGAAAGGTAAATGTGGTTTTGTGTTGATCAGGCTCATGGATCTTGAATCGATGAAATGCACTCTTGAGATCAAGCGTGGTGAAAACAGTGGCACCGGTAAGTGCGTGAAAGATTTGCTCGATGTGAGGTAAGGGATAACGATGTTCAGGTAAGAGGTTGTTGATATGTCGCGGATCAAGACAAGGGCGAAAATTGGTGGGATTACCCTGTGCGTCTTTCTTAGGAGCGACCGTCAAAGGACTATTCCATCCGTTACGAGGTGGTGCAGGAATGATAACACCGTCAGCAAGCCATTTTTGGATTTGCTCCTCAAGGACAGGTAAAAGATGTTCAGCAAGTGGATACTGAGGACGATAAACAGGTGGTGCAGCACCAGTGTTAAGGTAAACCACGGACTCAGGCATGGTGCAAAAAGAAGTAACAGGTATTTGTGCATTTTTTCTAAGAGCGGGTTGAATGGCGTGAAGAAGCTCATTGTGCTCAATAGTGGTGCCAGCGGGAGAATCGTTGGGCTTATCCATCTCGATGTTTGAATCAAGAGCAAAAGGTGGTGAAGGACGTTCCCATGACGTAGCAAGTCCTTGAATAGAAATCCCAAGTTTAGACATGAGATCAGTGCCAATGGATACATCAGCGTCAGCGTTAATAGGAAAGACTTCAAAAGAATGAGTAAAAGATTTGCCATCGTAAATACAATTTATTGGGGAAGTTGTGCCAGTGCGGGGAACAGAGACCCCAGATGCAGCCAAGTCAATATGACCTGAAGATGGGATGATGGGTACTGATAATTTGGTTGATAAAGAAGGAGTGATAGAAGATATGGTCGCACCAGTGTCAACAATGGCCCAGACCTTGTGCTCCTGTATAGTAATTGGCACGTAGATGGTGTGAGTAAGATCTGTAGAAGATGCTGTGGCATGGGATGCCATGCGAATAAACTTACATTGAACGCAAGGGTGTTGCGCGTCTTGCATATCAACGTCATCGTTGATGTCGTCATTTAAATCAATCAAGTTTTGCTCGGATGTATGATCCAAGGCAATATTGGAAACGTGGTGGTCTCCAGAGAAATGAGCTGAGCGAATAGCCAACTTGCACTTGCAAACATGACCTGGGAGCCATGACTCGTTGCACTTGAAGCAACGCTTTTGCTCGTGCGACTTGGTAGAGTTGTCGCGCTTCGAAACCTTGTTTCCTAGTTCCCGAGCTAAAGTTCTACATTCACTTGTAGTATGGTTGCCTTTCTTGTGCAAGTTGCAAAACTTCTTGGCCTCAGGCTTCTTGTTCTTGTCATGAATGTTGTTGGCCGTCTTGCTGTTGTTGGTTGCATGGTACTTCTTGGTGGCGCCAATAACGGTTGCATATAGGCCACGTGCAACGTTGGCAGCTTGTTCAGTAGTGGACCTCAACTCAACTGGCAAATTGACTTGGGCTAGGCGTACTTGCTTGTAGAGGTCAGGCACCAAAGATTTCGTGTATACAGCTGCAATTGCCAAGTTGTCCTCCAAGCCAGCTTCACGACGAGTCTTGTTAAAGCGGTCCGTGTAATATTCCACCGATTCGTCATTCTTCATTGACATGTCCAACAAATCAAACATGGCTTGAGATTGTCTTTCACCATCATGGATACCATACTTCTTGATAAGGGTCTTGCGTGCGAATGTCCATGGAAGATGAGTATAGGGGCGAAGGTTATCATCATACCAAGAGCGTTGCTCTGGTGACAACATGCGTGGCAACAATCTACCCCATGCTTCATCCAAATCTTGATTGTAGGAAACAATGACATCCTCAAAGCGGTTCAAGCATTCTTCCACTGATCCAAAGATAAGTTTCGTCTTGTCATGCACGTTTCCAGTCCATTGCAACATTGGAAGGTCTTGGGGTACAACAGGGCGGCTGGAGTGGTTACTCTTGTCCTTCTTGGTCATCTTTCGATAGATACCCTTAAGAGCTTCAAGATCCTTGCTTGCTTGTTGAGATTCCTGGTGCAAAGCTTGACGTTCCTCTGGCGTAATGTCATCCAATGACAAGCGTTCGGCCAAGTTAGCCAAACTTGCTACAACCCTGTCGATGGCATCAGTGGCACGCTGCAGGCTTGATGATGAGTTGCTTGAAGGCACAGATACAACAGAGTGCGTGTCCGTGGGTGAGGATATGGGAGAGCCAAGGTTCATTGGTGATTGATCAGAAGATCCTTGAGAGTGTTGGCTGGGTGATGTAGACATGATGATGATAAAGAGGATAAAAGAGAATTCGTCAAAAAAAATGTAATATCACTTATGAGAATAGAGAAACGATAAATGACGAGACTCA